TCTGCTCCCGTAATAAATTCTCGGGTGAAAATATGATGATGTTATTTGAGAGGCCCCGGAGACGCGCCGCCTCGCCTAAAAGCACCTTTTTCACTTATTAGCATCGCATTTTGAACATGGAAGCGCCGCCGCCACATGCAAATTCGATTCGCGCTCATTACAAAAGAGAGCCGCTTTGCATAAGTGGATTTGCATTTTTCGAAACAAAGTGCTCGCGCCGGCCACCGGATTTGATGCCACTTCAAAGCGCTCTTTCCGCTCCACCTGCCACAAAACGTTGCCAAAGAAGAATATGCTGCGGTGGGAAAAAAATGAGAAAACAAAATGCTTCTTAAAAGGGGAACGTGCTCAGCAATTTAGTATTTCTAGAACATTTTGAAGACTTCAAAACCTTCTCAAGCCATCTCAAGGTAATTTTTATAGGAAAATAGCAACAAATTTTAATTAAATCGTAAAAATTGCAACAATCGAAAATTGTTGTGATTTGATTAGATGGATTTCTAATTTCTTTTTTAAATCCTTCAATATTGAATAAAAATGCAATAAGAATGTGAGCTTTACTGTGAAAATGCGAAAGTGTTGGCGCGGCGGACAAAATCGGCAGACGAGTTTTTGCTTTGGGCGCCCACACGCCGTGAAATCCGCAACCAAAGTGGAACTTTTTCCAAAGCATTTGCATTTTTCACGAGCCAAACGTAAATCAAATTTTCCAAAGAGGCAAATCCGTTTGACGTTTCAAAGCTTTTTACACGAAAAGAACAAAATATAATCAACAATGCTGGACACTCATTTTCAATTTGTAATTTGTACAAAGTCGAAAAATTTTCACTGAATTCTGATTTTAATTTAGTAGAGCACCTGGAAAAATATTTTATTCCCAACGGATGCGACTCTGCAATTCTGAGGAAAATAAAAATGCATTTCAAAAAGAGAAGTTTCTCGTGTGGAAACAAATGATGCTAATTATGGAAGAGGTGGGCTTTTGTGGTGCTCGGCGCGGTCGTTGCTCCCTCGCCTGCGACTCGCATGATTCAGTTGAAAAGCTTCTTTTTAATTTTGCAGAAAAAGATCCTCGACGCACATTTCTCTCCATTTTTCCGGAAATAATTCAAACATTTATCCCAATTCTTAGGCTTACAAATCAAACGTTTATTTTGTCAGTTTGTCAGTCCAAAAGTTAGATTAACCAAATTTTTAAAATTTAATTTACCAACGCTTGAGACAAACAAAAGATTTTCGTCTCTCGTTTCTTGCAATTCTGAAAAAATAATAACTTTTATTCAGGTAAAATGCACTTTTAAAAAGTTTCTCGTGCGGAAAAAATGATTCGGGAAACATACTTTTCTGGTGCTGCAGAGTCGTGAGAATGAATTCTTTCTTCAGTTGAAATGCGTCTAGATGAAGAGCTTTTACAATTTCTTGTAATTTTAGTCCCTCGGCTCTCCAAATGCAAACATCTGGTTTTATTTATTATTTATTTTCATTTTACTTTCTCAAAAGACTGAAAATTGGCGAGTAAATTTTGGACTGATGGCGTTTTAATCGCGCACGTGGGACCTTGTTAATTACTCGGCGCGCGTTCAATTAATGCTCGAGCGACCATTAATCTTGGCTCGTCATCTCGCGCGTGTCGCCGCCCAAAAACACGATTAATCTTGCCCGCCGCGCATATATCAATTTTGCTCTCCACTTTGTTCCTCAACTAATTCAATTACAAGCAACACAATATAATCTTGAGTGTGTCGCAAGGAAAAGGTGATTTACGACGAGCCGATTTTCCTAATCAGACTCGTTCGTTTTGTTCAAATGTCAGTCGCGTGACGCCCGCACAGAGGCGCTCACGTTCCACGCAAAAAAGTGGCTCAAGCGTCCGACAATGTTGTGTTTGTGCAGCGGCGCGCGAGCCAACAACGCATATTCGGGACCATCTCAAACGCGGTCCTGACACAAGAATTAATATTTGGCTGGCGAAATTTGAGTGAGTTTGAATCAAAATAATTTTACTGGCCAAATTTTCCTAACAGTAATTGAATATGAAGGTGGAATTTTAAAAACTAGAATAGGTGGTAAAAGATCTCAAAATAAGCGGGTTTTTTTTATTCATAAGCCAATGTATTCCCTCCTCATTAATAAGAAATATTAATTAATCATAAAATTTCAACTATAAATTTAAGAGGACCAACTTAAGTAAGTATCTTTTCTTTACAAAATGTTTCACTTAGTTCTTAACAAGTTAAATTAATTTGTTTCACTTCCTAATAAATATGAATTTCTGAATTATTATTGTTGCCTAAATTAGAAATTGTTTAAATTTGAATAAATTGTAAAAATCTGATAAATAATTCCTGTTGAAAGAATTTTCGGAAAAATGAGAATGAATTTATTTCAAAATGTCTTGAGTTACGATTGCTAGAAATTGAATAATTTGTCTAGCTTTTGAGGCTGTGAAGAGGGACAAATTGTTTCAGTAACAATGAAAGTGGGATTTTGGGCCGCTGTGTTGAGTTGCGCAGGCAAACCGCAAAGCATTATTGCACGTGCAGATGCAACTTTGGCAATGGCAAGGCGCAGTTTGTGTTTCACTTTGCGAGTTGCCGTCGTCGCGTGTGTGATTTCAGGCCAATTACGTTCCGCTCGCTTCTCTTTCAAAGGAGCCTAATTAAGAGCGGATTATTTTAGCGTGGGAGACGCGACGATTGCAGCCGCGCACGTGCTTTTCGTGCAGCTGCGAAAAACGAGCCAAGATTTCAACTTTGCCTCTTCACCCGAGAGAGCTCAAAACTCGACGCTCATTTTTCTCATCAAATGCGAGCTTCAAATCAACCGAGAATTTCAATTCAAGTTTTAGGCGAAACAAGAAGAGACTTTTTAACAAATTAAAGATGAAACTTACGGCAAAATAATTCCCTAAATTTCATTTTGAAAGTCCTTTTTTAAAACTAAAACAATGTTTCTTTTTTTTCAAAACGGCGTTTGGGGAAAGAAATTAAAAAATACAAGGAAGGCAAAAGTGCAGTTTTTTACTTTCACTTGGATTGCTCTCGAATGTGTTCACAATTCACAAGATTTTAACTTCAACCATTTTCTTATAAGAAATTTGACGATGATTTTGCTCTTCTTTCTTGAAAGCGACGTCGATACTTATTTGAGGCGTTTATTGAGTAAAAAATGCTTCAGCAAAGAATTCGTTGGAAAAGTAAATGAAATTTGGGTGGTTTGCGAGCAAAAGAATGAATCTGTGGCAAGCGAGAGGGAAGAAGAGACAAATGTATATATTTTGCGTTGAAAAGGAGAATCCGCATAAAAAGTGGCCGTGGAGGGAAAAAGAGCTGCGCGGCTCGAAATTAGATTTTCTCTTTCTCGTGATTTTTTGCGCGCGTTTTCGGCCGGGATTAACGACGGCAGATGCGCGAGTGAATTTTTTCCATCACTCGGTCGCGCCTTCATTAACTTTTTATTCTCCTCTCATGTGACGGCCGCGGCGAAATCTGCCACTGCTTAATTACATTCATTCCGCCCCCGCTCGTCGTTAACCCCGAAAGACCCACTTTTGGGGCGGCGCCAATTCCATTTCTCGAGACGAAAAAACAAAACAAGAAAATGCTGCCGGCGACAAACGAAATAAGACTTGGCGCGCGTTCACAAAACTTGTTTATTTTACAGCCCCAAAATTTCTATTTCTTTTAATTTGGCCCTTTCTTGGCGCAAAAACCAGACATTTTTCTTGCCTCACTTTCTTTCTTCATTTCTGACACCACGAAAAATGCAAATTTTCCTTTCTTGTTTTTGCTTTTTAAAAATAAACAGGATTTTATTGCAAAATTATTTTTGTTACAGAAATGCTGCGGCAAAAACATTACAACTGTGCAATGTTTTGGCATAGTCTGTAATCATAGAGACCGTTTCAAAAGGATTTAAAAAATGTATAGTTTCACAACATGAGCTCAAAATTTGTGGGTTTTTCAAGACTCCAATTTGTATTTTGGAAATTTAGAAAAAGCTTATATAGGCGTCCCGTGGACATTGAACAAAAATCTGGGTATGTTTGAAGTCGCCTGCTTGCCCCCTGCAACTTTGCTGTTGACTACAAAATCGTAGGTCGAAGTTCAAGGTCACTTCCAGTGACCTCAAAGCACTTTGCTTTGAAATTTAAAATATTCCCCCAATTTTACTTCAATTCTGAGATTGCCATTTTGTATAGAGTAAAATTTTGCAATGTATTTAAAGATAAATTGGATGGCCTTTGTCGTTTTTAAATTAATAAAAAATTAAAAGAGCAAAAATCGTGGTTTCCAGAGCATTTTTGCAGATCAATATGTTTGAACCGACATAATCATTTTCCTATGCATGATGGCTCAAAATTTTAAATGACAAAAAGTGCTCGCCTTGACACGACCTATCTAAAAACGTATCACACGTGGTGATCAGGTCACAAAAGGTATTTGACCCTGGTGACCTTTGACCCTGCCACAATTACTTCATCAAGTAGTGTGACACATGGTTGGAAGGGAACATCAAGTATGTACATCATTTTGGTGCTTTTAAATCTGTTGCAGCTCTAACAGATAAGAAATTGTTGCAGTTTTTGCAATAAAAATTAGAAGAAATTCAAATAAAATGAACTTAATTTAACGCCAAATCTTATAAATTAATCTTAATCAGCTGAGATTTGTGATTTAAAATAATCCACTTTTCAGCCGCTCATGTACAAGAAAAATTTGCATTTCTTTAAAGAAAAAATATGATTTTCATATATTCTGTTTGAAGAAAATTTAAAACATTAATTTTAATTATTGAAAATTGCTAAAAGAAAAAAAATTGGTAAAAGGGAAACAAAGCAGGAGTGGAATTGATTTGGGCCAAAAGAGGATTGGCGGTCGGCGGGCAGCAATTAACGAACCACCGCACCTAATGGAGCGCATCAGCGGTTTGAAGAAACCGCATTCGAACGCACGGATTTCGTTTGGAAACAATTACTAATTAGGGGATGAATGACTCACCCTGTCCAGAGGACGAACTCGATGTTGTCGCCGTGCTTCTTCTTCATGAAGTCGGCGGCGCTCTTGACCAGGGCCCACGGCGAGTCGCAGCTGTAGTCGCCGAACGGGCCTGGCTGCAGCCGACGCACGCCGCCGTTCGTCTGCCGGCCCAGCCAACACACTGCGCAAACACACAAATCATCAAAAACACGTCTGCCATTCAAAATTACCAATTATGTTTGAAAATCATTTCATTTTTTTACCGAAAGCAAAATTTTTTGATTCTCAATTTTGCTTTTTTAAATAAAATTAATTTTTTTTTCTCAATTTTTTTTAGCTTTTGATGTCAATGATTCATAATAGAACCTTTTTTAATCGACCTCTAAAAAAATTTAAAATTTGCTAAAATCAGTTTAAACGGTGTTAAAAAATTTAGCTTTTTATGAAGCAAAATGTGGAGCCCAAGAAGGCTGAAAAACTGATTTTGTCAACCTCTTTGAAAAAGCGATTGATTGTAAACAAAAAATGATACTTTTTAAGAGGTTTTTACGTGGATTTAGTGAAACTGTGCGAGAAATCCACGTAAAACCCTCTTAAAAATTAACCCCTGAAACTGCTTTACACTTTACAACACAAACAAAACACTACTCTACACTAATTTTAACAGAAAAAAACACACGCACACTAACAATTATCTGAGAAAAAATGATACGTTCAACCCCTAAATAATCTTCATCGGCTCTTATTACCGTTGATACAAGTACCAAATTTAGGCCGGAATTTGGGCGTAAATTTAAGAATTGACCGAAAAAGGCAGCGTTACTTAATTAAACCTCTTTTCGACACTTGTTCTTTACTAGAAAAATAGCAAATGGAGAAGAAAATTATGTAACGCGATGACCTGTTGACCTTGGTGCGGCGGCGCTGCGGGGGTGAGGCGAGGGGCGATAACTCAAGACGAGAAAAGCGGCACTAAATCACGTGCTTGTGTAATTTACTCTCCATATTATATTTGCAACGTCGGCCGATTTGTTTTCCTTCAGCAAAGTTGGTTGCGGGGATCAAAATTTGCGAGAGACCGACGGAATTAATTGTGCAGGCCAAGGTGCAAAACGCCCGCGCCAGATGTTGCGAAACAACTTTGCGCCCCCATTTTTATCTCGACGCGAGCGCGCGCGCGGTGCTTGTAAATTATTCGAGATGCAAAAAATAAAAAAAGTAAAAAGTTTTTCCTCGTTCTCTGGCGGAAAAGCTGCAGATGCACAAAAGTACTCACTCTTGCTCGTGTCCCCGAGGGTGGTGTAGTTGACGTCGTAGTGCATGTCCGTGATGTGCCAAAAGTAGCCTGCGAACAACGCAACAGACACAATAAATTTCATTTCCTGCTAACATGTGACTTGCAAAGCAAAAGCCGATGGAACATTCTTTTCATGCCAGAGAAAATAATAAAATTGAAAAATATTTTAAATGTGCCCTTTTGATTTTTTACATGTTTTATTTTCATTTTCGTCAAATATGGACGAAATTTTATTGAGAATTTCGGAGATTGAAAACATTCCAACTCTTTTTTAAAGAGAATGAAACCAACTCTGGATAGCAAAAACTAATATTTTAGGCTACAAGGAAAATTAAAAAAAAATTAACTTCACCGCATTCATTTTTGAGAAAAGTTGAATTAAGTGCTGAAAAATGTGCTGCTTTTTTTACATTTTTCTGGTATCTGAGCTGTTGGAATTAATTGATCTCTGCAAACAATTGTCATGATAGTTCGTATTTTGGCTCTTCCAAGGAATGAAAAAATCTTCATTTTTTCAAAATTCCAAAATGACCGCCGGAGGTCAATACGGATTTTTCTAAAACAGCTGTCAAATGAAATTGTATTAAGATTTTTTAATTTTTAATTTTTTTGGTCACAGGTTTGAGCTCATGAACCAAGGCAACTTTTGTTTCTAGGTCATTGACCATGGAGAAAGGTCAAAAAGTACAGTTTAACATCCTTAAAAATATTGACTTGAAAAATAATATCCAAAAGATTGACCATTTCGTCTAAATCAGAGTTCTAAATTTTTATAAATCGTCATATTGGAAATATTTCTAAGATTTGGGTCCGTTTGAATGGACTAATTATTAACAGAGAAGCAAATTGAATGAACGCGGCTTTGCATTTCGCGGCCGAAGTGAAACGCAGAGGATTAGTTCGCATTGTCGAGAATTGCAATGAAATTTTCAGTCGATCGAACGACTCGGTGCCGCACGCCGAATGCATTTAATTGCTTAAATTAATCCGAATGCGCCGCCAAGCGAGACGACAACAACAACAACAACCGGTGGTGCAATAATAACGAGACGATCGATCGCGCAGGGGTGGTCGGGGCCGGGTTGAAATTGAAACCGAGCTGATTGCTGAATAAAGAGCCCCTCGAGGGTTGGGCTTTTGAAGGCGCTTAATTACCGCCGGAGCCGAGATTAATAGGGTGGACCTAAGTCGATTTACAGCGCCGCCCGCCCGCGCACCTGTAGCAACAACAACTTTTGGTTGCGCCCGAAAGAACGCGACCGGCCGGCCAGCGACACACACGTACGAGCCAAACTTTCCTGCCCCTGATTTACCGCCAAACTTGCGCCACTAAATTAATTTGCAAGACTTGCCGAGCCAGCCCGATTCCAAGCTTTAGAAACGAAACACAAAACGAAATCGAATGAAATTTGCTGCAAATTTTTCCAAACCAAAAGGATAATTTCACACGAAATACTTCAACAAAAATTGAGTTTTTTTTTGTCCGTTGAAAATATGAATTTAAAAACAACTTTTTTAGACTTATTTTTCAGTGCCTGACAACTTTTCAACAGTGACCGAACGTGTACGAACACGTTCATGGTCACTTTGAGCTAAATTTTGACTTTGTCAATTCTTCAGCATTGAACATTTTGGAAATTTTCTCGGCTCTTTCTAGGCTTCCCGTGGTCGTAGAAAAAAATTCCGGGTATGGCTGGATTCCTCACAGCAAGCTCTAAAACTTTGCTTCTGGGTAAAAAATTGTGGGTCACAGGTCAAGGTCACTTTTGGTGGCCTCGTGCCCTTTGACCTCAAAATCGACAATTTGCCGCCACTTTTTAAAAAAATCTGAGATGGCCATTTTGTAGAACATAATATTTGATATAGAAAAAAAATGATATTTATCACCCGTTTTAAATTTGAAAAATGAGAAACGCAAAAAAAAAGTGGTTTTCAGAGCTGTGGAGGATGACAAATAATTTTGAGCCTCTGCAACTTTTTTCCTGCTATATTTACGACAACATGTGTAATAACAAAAAGCGATTGCCTTGACTTGTTCTTTCAGACCACGTCTCGCACATAGTGACCTGGTAACAAAAGGTCATTGATCCTGGTGACCTTTGACCTTGCCACAATATATTTTGCAAGTGTGGCTCAACGTTGGAAAGAGCACATTGAGTGGAACATTTTGGTACCAGAAATTTTGCCGTTGCTTTTTTAAAAGCAGAGTTATTGCAATATTTTCTTAGTGAAAATTTAAAAATCAAGAAAAACTAGTATTAGATCTGCAAATTAAAAAATTAAAAGTTATTAGCAATGCAAGACATCTAGCATTCCATCACTTCTATCCAGTAAAAATGAAATCTTTTAGCTAATTAGAAGGCTTTTCATCAAAATTTTAAACCATGGGGCGCTTGACGAGTGTACGTTTGACTAAATTTTAAGGTTTGTTTAAAAAACTCGATTTTTGAGTTTACCGGAAAAATTGCAAATATTTGAAAACATTTTCGACAATTCTTGAAAGTAATGAACATTTTCATTATTTTGTAGTTTTCATCTCGTCATAACTGAATGTGCGAGAAGTTGCGGCGCATTTCGCTGTTCATTAAAGTGCGGCGGCGAGGCCAGGATTTGATGCTTGGAGTTTGCACGGAAGGCAATAAAAGAGGGTCGACCGACCGACCGACCGACCGACCGACCGGTGCTATTTATCCGCGGCGGCGAGACGCGCGTTATTTACAATGCCGAGTGCAATAAAAACCGAGCCCCGCACTCTCTTAAACGTGTTTGGCTTTCTTTATAAAACGCCGGCCCTGCTCGCTGTGTCAATAAGCCTGGCAAAAAAAATGTCGCACGCGTTTATCCTCTGCAAACAGAGAACTTATAAAAATGTATGCGACACGTGGGAGAAATATTGAAATTGCTTAAACGGGCGGAATAAATTGCAGGGGCTTTGCTTGATGTGTGCATAAGGACGCTTGTTAGGGGGATTAGTGTCCGCCCCCGCCCCGCCTCCTCCTCCTCGCTAATGCTTCTTTCGCTCTCGGGAAATTATTCGCCATTACGGAATTAAGTGCGCTGCATGCACGGCTGCGCTGCATCTTCGTCCTTCACATTTCCCGCTCGACTGCGCTTCCATTGTTTCCAGCAACAGCGACGACAATTTGCAGTTCACGCGATTGTTCTGGCAAAAAGTTCACAATTATCACAGTTGAAATGTATTCCAGTATTTTAAATTTCCCCATTAAGGTAAAATTCCTGGCTTGTAACCTTTTGTTTTCAAAAAAGCACAAAAATTATTATAATTTATTTTTTTTTTTTTTTTTTTTCAAATAAGAACAATATTTACCAATTTAAAAGTTAACTCGATTTGGATTTGATGAAAATTTGTAACAAAAATTAAAAAAAAAAATATATACTAGATAAATTATAATCTGAAAAACCATAAGGATTATCAAGTTTTAAAACGTAGATTTTTTTTAATTCTTTAACAAGAATCGATCTTGAATAAAAAAAAAAAAAAAAAAATTATAAATCAATTAATTGAAATTTTGAAAGAATAAGGAAAATTGGTGGGTGTTAGAAGATTTCGGCGATTTTTTTCTGCAGTCGGGCGATCGGGGCGATTTTTCTTTCGGCAGCTGGCAGGACGATTTTTATTGAGAAGCAGCGAGATTTACGGCCGGCTTCGGATGCCGCCGCTGCAGTCCGCCGTGAAAAATACATCTGGCGAGGCAAAGAGCGAAAAAAGTTTTCCCATTTGGTATGACGTGCGCGAGAGAGAGACCGATCGAGTCAACGACCCGGAATGAAATTGCAACAGATGCACTTCTTCGCAATCTCTTCTATGATTTTCAAACGAATTCCATCAAAAGTTAGTTATGAAATTGATTTGATTGAAATGCTTTCGCACGAAACGCGGATTGTTTATGATTCTGGTCAATTTTGAAACTCGCGGAGTTAATTTTTTGCTACAAATCCGCTTGAATTGAGTCCTTCGGCTTTACAATTGAATTGAAATCCGTTCGCGCTTTGATCATTCGCAGAAATTAATTAGCGTTTGACGCGCGTGAAATTAATTGAACTAAATTATTAAAATATTCAGTGCGAATGCGAAATGTATTTTTCGACTTTCGAGTGAATTAAACAATAACTCTGTGCGTGCGTGTGTGGCCTGAATAATTTGCACTAGTTTGTCGCGCTGTTTTGAATTGTAATTCCGCGCTCGCTCGCTTGCTCGGCCTGCTGATAAAATTACCACGGCGTGCACTCTCGGACTTTGAGCGAAACCCTTCATTTGCAGGGAAAACGGGCGGGCGGGAGCCGCGCCGCCGTCTCCAGAGAGACCACTTGAATTTCCACACACCCAGCAATTTACAATTCTCTTTCATCAGAACGCAAATTGCTGCCGCCTTCAATCCGCTTTTCGTGATCATTACATTAATTAGTTCTGCTCAATTGATCGACGTTCGTCGCGTTCAAATAGACATTCCAAGCTTATTTTTCAATCCCCTTCAACCGAAAATTGGAATCAAAAGCACGAAGCTCGGAAAAATGCATGCCAGTTTCAAATTTACACCATTTTGAAACAAATTTCCTGACATTTCACAGCAGAAAACCTCATTTTTCAAACTCTCCACTCTTATAACTTTTCTCAATTTGGATTTAGAAGAAAATTTTAAATGCAAAAAGTGTGCACAATTTAATTTTCTACAAGTTTTGTCTGATATATTTTTCTCTAAAATGTTTTCTTGTCCGCCATGTTGGTCACTCTGGCGTGGGCAGAATCATCATAAATTAGTGCCGCGCGCACACACACGGCGGGCCAAACAAAAGTAGCGCGCGAATATTATCATTTCTCTCTCTCTGTGTGTGGCGATTTGCATTTCAAAGAGCTGCTTTTGCTTGCGGCGGCGAATGCAAATCGCGACGAGTTATTTATCGCGCGGCAAGATGCAAAAACTCGGCGCTTCAAATGTGAAAATGAGCTTCCTCCCTTTGTCCTCCCCGCCACGCTAAGAGCTTCCCTCATTTGAATAATGCCACGTGTGTGTGCAAAAAACAAAAAG